CCCCCCCCCCCCCAAAAAAAAAAATTAAAAACTATAATAATTATTGTTAATAGGCACGTGGCACTGTGTATAAATTTAAACACGAAAATAGAAAATCTATTAATGATTACGAAATAAGAAAACATTTTTCATAAAATTAACACGGATATTGAAACAAGAAAAGCATAAATTAGCGGCTAAGAAATTAAAAAAATGTGTAAGTTTGGAATAAAGTGTAGGTTAAGAACTAAAAATATTGCATAAGGCCGAAGTAACGAATATTCGTAATGTTATGGTTGAACGAGTTACCATCCTATTTAATGGAATGAATGAGTTTCACACTCTAAAGAAATTCTATAATATGTGTATAACAAAAATTTACCAAATAATATGCGAGTTTCTATATATATCGTTTCTACAAAATCCAAATATGAAAAAATAAATGTATGCGGATTATTTCATGTTTGAACAAAATAAAGAAAATAACCTAGGGCCACTTGTTACATTACAATCATTATGTTTCAATTTTGGTCCGAGATTTGAAGCCCCATCCATCCGGTACAAACTGAAAAATAGTTGGCTTTAGATCAAATATTTAGACCCGAAATTTTTGGGTTTCAGATCGGTTCGGATCGGATTTTGGGTCGGTCTAAAGTCCGATTATTTTTTTTAAAACTAATAATAAACTTGAAAAAACAAATTTAGCGGGTCGGTCGACTCGATCCGATACGAACCCAAACCCAAAATCTATAGAACTGAGCTTTGTATTTGGTTATTTAGATTTGAAAAAAAATCGGGTCAGTTCGAGCTTGAGTCTGAAACCCTTTTGAGCTCGTGTAGAGTCGGGATGGCTCGGCTCGATTGACAGGCAATCATGTATATATATAGGCATACACGCGATGGAATTGATTTTTATAATCATCGTGTAGAATAAGCTGTGTACAAAATATTAAATATCATCCCATCCGATATATAATACCCAGTTGTAAAAATATCGTAATATACATATATGAATTTTCAGATTTTTAAATAAATATATTTATTCTTTTAAAACTGCCAAATTCTTATGTGACATGATTTGCAAGTTCGTTATTGTCATAGCATGATATTATTATATTGATTAATAAGTTGAAAGTAATATAATTTATAGGTCTAATACAATTAGTTCTGAATTTATTTATTTTGATAAAACAAAATGCAGGGTTAATTATTGAAGTGGGAAAGTATAGAGTTTTTATAACGGTTTTTTTTTAAATATTTTTAACAATTTATTATAACTGCTCAATTTGAATTCGAGAACTGCTTTTCAAAAGCCCAAGACGGCCAATTTACTAATTACATGGATAGCTAAGCCCAGCCAGGATACCATCAAAACGTGGTCGTTTTGTCGTGTTAATTTGGGGAGAGCAAACGGGTCGCGACTCGCTTCTCTTTCGGTTCGAAACTCGCCGCAGCCGGAAACGTCTCTGGCCGTCGGGATTTGAATCGCCGGCGATATGGACGGAGTCGATACGAAGAAGAAGAAAGCAGGAGGGCCTCGTCTCTGTTGCATCTGCAACCAGAGACGAGCCGTCCTCAAGAGGCCTAAAACCCTGCAACAGGTAAGAACTTTGAATCCCCTTCTGTTTCCTGAGGTAGTTGTCCGTCAGGACAGATGTGTTGGATTCTCATGATATTATATGGATTACTGTTGCGAATCTTCGATTAAGCTGTTTCGGAAATCTGCTGTTGAATTCGTGTTTAATCCATCGGGGGCTCGTTTTAAGTTCTGAATCCGATATCCGAGCGAAAGTACACGGCAGATGGATTGTCTTCATCAGCAAAGAATCAATACCTGAAATTCTCTCAGTCGCTTATTTTAGTATTTCCCCTTTGCCTACTGAGCAGAAAATGATAGAATATTATGCGTTTAAAGATATGCAGGGAGTGCTTCTATGAGGTTTTTGAGGAGGAAATCCACCAAGTTATTGTCGAAAACCGATTATTTAAGCCCAGCGAACGAGTTGCCATAGGAGCTTCTGGTGGAAAAGGTGAATTGATTGTATTATAATCGCTTCTGTTTCAAACTTCTGATAAACTGTTTCTGGTTTCAAACTTTCAAGTCTGGTTTGTTTAGGTATTTCTTTCTCAATTTTTGTTGTTTATTTTGCCCGATACATCGCAAGTTTCGTTCCATACTTCATCAAATTGAGGTTCCTCTTTGAATACTGTTTCTTTCTTAAGGAAGTTTATCGATTTTCGTGTGGTTTAACAATGACCCGAGTGATCTCTTGGTGGTATAGACTCGACGGTGCTCGCATATGTAATGTCAGAGCTGAACAGACGCCACAATTACGGGTTGGACCTATTTCTTTTGTCTGTGGATGAAGGAATTACGGGTTATAGGGACGATTCCCTCGAAACAGTCAAACGAAATGAAGTCCAAGTATGCTCTTTTTCAGTTTAGATTGAATTCCGTAGCTTTCTGCGGCCTTTTTGACTCATTTTCTCTGTTTTCTTTCTTTTCCAAGTATGGTTTGCCACTTCAGATTGTTTCGTACAAAGATCTGTATGGATGGACTATGGATGAAATAGTGAAGATGATTGGTTTGAAGAACAATTGCACCTTTTGTGGTGTATTCCGCCGTCAGGTGTGGCTTCTTCAACTCCGTGTTTTCTTGGTTAACATTGCTTTGAATAATTACGCATAAAACATTATTGAACTGATTTGAAGAACCAATTAAAAATCTGAACTTTTCTAGAAGTGGAGTGCTTCTCCGTTTTCTTGGTTTCAAAGATGAGCTTTTGCGGTTATCATGGTGCATTTCTGCTAAAAGTTTTTTTACTGTGGATAGATTTTGACATTCAGTTGTAATTGAAATTTTGAACTTGCTAGGCAAGGGGACACACATATGTACATATAAACCTTTTTCTGCTTGTTTACGATTGCAAATGCTTTGGAGTCTATAATGCTACTGTATCTTGATTCTTGATCTGATGTCTGGATGATTCTTGAAGGCACTTGATCGAGGGGCTGCGTTATTGAAGGTTGACAAGCTGGTCACTGGACATAATGCCGATGACATTGCAGAAACTGTTCTCTTAAACATATTACGAGGGGATATTGCCCGGTAAATATGTTCCTAAGAATGTGTGTTCCTAAGATATTTTCTGTTCTCGTTAGCTAACTGAGTCTGTATCTTTTCTATTGTAGATTGGGTAGATGCACATCGATTACTACCGGTGAAGATGGTCCAATCCCGAGATGCAAACCTTTCAAGCATACGTACGAGAAGGAGATCGTCATATATCCTTATCTAGATTCAAAATCCTCTTTTCTTCTTTTAGACATCACTGGATATATCTATCATTTAAAGCTGACAATTTAAGATCATTCCGTTATACCTTAACCAAGTTATACGTATGCTTATTTCAAGAAGCTAGACTACTTCTCCACTGAATGTAAGTACGCATTTTCGAAGTTGCTAGACATTTTTTGTATCCTTTAATCTCTGTGAAGAGATTCTGAATGTTTTCTGTAGTCTAGATTCATCATCAGTCAGTTTATTGAATCCGTGTTTTCATCGATATCGCAGGCATATATTCTCCAAATGCGTATCGTGGATTTGCCCGTGAATTCATTAAAGATTTGGAGAGACTCAGGTTCTTGCCCGACTCTTTCTTCCTAAACATGGAACAAACTTTTTTTTTGGCTATAACCTCAGTAGATTTGACAATGGTATCGTATGGTAACGCAGACCGAGGGCAATTCTCGACATTATAAAATCTGGTGAAGATTTCAGAATCGCGACATCCACAAAGATGCCGGAGCAGGGAACGTGCGAACGATGCGGGTATATATCTAGCCAGGTGAGACTCCCATAACAAAAATCTCTCTTTCTTATCTCGTTTCTCGAATGTTAACACAAGTTTCAAACACCCCTGAAACACCGAAATTTCTTGCCTTAAATTTTACGATTTCTTCCTCGAAAATCGCTGTAATGCCCTGCAGAAATGGTGCAAAGCTTGCGTTTTGTTGGAGGGTCTGAACAAGGGTTTGCCTAAGATGGGCATTGGAAGAGCACGAGGCTTGAACGGTGATCATCATCATAATAAGAAGGAAACCGCCATGAAATCTATAGAGAGCAAACAATGTGGATCTCTGGATTTCTAGATCAACTGGAAATCTTTGCAGGTCTGTCATATCGTCGAGATTGATTCCCCGAGATACGTTTTTGCGTCTCGGCGTATGTAAATGAATCGATCCATCCGTCTCGTATTTGATCTGCCGAGAGAGAACTCGTATCAGTCTAAAAGGGGATGATATTATTTGCATATGATAAATTTTGGTTTCTCTTTGTTAGGCTCAGACTGTGCCCCGTTTATTTTCACTACTAAGTACTAAGTTGCGTTTGAAAGCACGGATTTTATGGTCTTTTCTCGTCCTGCGAATGAGCCGGGCCAAGTGTCTGCTCGTAATTTTCCCTGGAAACCAGGGGTATGTTTGTCCTTTTCCTCAATATAATCGCGTTTGAAACGCTGTCGCGATGAGAGTCTTCATCACATCACACGTGATCATTTTTTGGACTTCGATTATATTCTAAATTCAATTATTTTGGTTTTGGTTATTTCATATTAGATTGATTCGGTTACATTTTATTAAGATTCGGTTTTTATGGATAGAAATATTTTAAAAAAATAATAGAAATTTTCGATTATTTTCTATATAATTCGATTTGGATTCTATTAGAGAAATAATAACCATAATTTTTATATGATATCGGTTCATGTTATTGGGTTTAACCAAATTGACGGTGACCGCGAGCGTTCGATGCGTCTGAAACGCCAAACGGCATATCAAACTATTTCTTCAACGCAAGAAGCTGTGAACCCAAATTGTGAAAAACCTACTTCTCTCTCTCTCTCTCTCTCCGACACAGGTGAGTGGCGCGCGATGGCTTCGCCGACGCCGAGGAATTCCGCCGGCAGCAGGGATCCAGCGAAGGCGTTGACTTTCCTATCTTCAAACTTCGTAGACAACGTGAAGAAGAACAAGCACGATTTCTTCCAGTTCATCGCCGTGACCGGAATCCTGCTCATGAGCTGCCAATCGCTGAGTCAGAAGCACCTCGTCCACGATCTCGAGGAGGACACGGAGGCTCTCAGGCAGGAGCGAGACTCTCTCGCGGAGCGTATGAGGCATATCAAGGGCAGCCTCCTCCGTGAAGCGTCGATCGATTCCACCGGTGCCTTCGCTGCTCGTCTCCGTCAACTCTTCGGTGGCGATGATCAGTGACCGGTGACTCGATTCAGTCTTCCAGGTTAAAGATTTCTTTTCTCTGGCGTCGATTTTGTGGTATGTCAGACATGGATTGCTCTAGTTCGTGAGCCGTTTCGATAGATCCATGCCTCTATTGGATTAGCAAACTATCACGAAATCGATGGACCTTGTACTTCTCTCGAGAGTAGGGTTCTACAGAATAAGTAGGGTTTTGGGTTTGCGAATTGGGAATGACTGATGGATTTGAACGTTTAAAACTATGCTTCATCGAAATTTTCCTATCGGTGGAGTCATCAAAGTAGTCCTCCACAACCCATTTGCCATTGCAGAGTTTTGAAGAACAGGGTTCATAAATTACCACTAGGTATTATAGGGCATTTCATCGAGCACTTCATCTGCATCTTTGATTGGACCCCCAACTGGTTGAAACTTTGTTGATTGATACTAGTTTTTGGGTATTTCTCCAATCTCCATGGACATTATCTGATGGTGGGTTCATGGGGTAGAGACCCTTCAAACCAGAATGAGTAATGAGGAAACGATCATTTGATCATTTCTCTCTCTCTGGAATTGGTAATGTTCAAAGCAAAACAGTGAGCAGATTTGGTTGCCAAGGCTGGGAGTTGGGATAGGAAGGTGTTAGATTAAGCTCAACGAGTGTTTGGTACGGTACGGGTTAGCCCTTTGTGTCAAGGTTTCTGATTTCTCATTTGTCCGAAATGGTTTTGGACCATCCAGAGAAAGGGGGGTGTGGCGTGGTACCAAAGATTTTCGAGCAACTTGGCCTCGGCCTCATGAGGGTCGGCTCCGAGTACCTATGAGGGGTGGTGACGATCAGGTACTCAGTCGGTTAGGCCACGATGGCCTGACAGGCGAAAAAGGGCGAGTGACCTGGAAACTAAAAACAAAGGCGAATGAGATGAGAGAGAGTCAGGCCGGAGGAGGTGGACCTAACGAGGCGACCGGCAAGAGAACCCCTTGTGTGGGCGAGGCGAGGCCGAGGCCAAACCACCCCTTTGCAGTCCTCGCTCACAATCCTCAATCGAAATCACTCTCAAACCCTCGGTCGCATTTTAGGGATATCATTTTGCATAAAATCTCTAAAATGAACCTCAAAAAAAAAAAAAAAAAAGACTACCTCATTTGTACTCGTAACCCTCCCCTCCCTCGACTTGACGCTCGCAATCGTCGCCCCTTGCGGCAGCGTCTCCCGCTGCCATGTCTATCTCTCCGTCTCCCGGGTTATCCATGGATTCGATTTTTCATTGTACAAAATCCGATCTCGAACCCAAAACTCTAGTTTTCCGAGCTGATGCACCCGACCTCATCCTCTTTGACGGTTAGATTCTAGCGGGACGGGGTACTCGTGAGATGATTATTTGTTCCTACCTTTATCCGAATTATCTACCAATATATATGTAAGTACTATGATTTGATAGGTGTGTGGTACTCATATAACGATATTATTCTGAACCGAACCGATATTAAGATCGAATCGAACCGTTTAATATTCGGTTCTAGTTTGGTACAATTTATATAAAATCGAAAATACATTCCTGAATCAAACCAAACCTGAAAAGTCCACAATAAATTTTTATAAAACAATTTACATTTTTTTAATAAATAGAAATTTATATATATATATATATATATATAATTCAAATTTGAAGTTTCACGTTAGTGATTTCGAGATACCTAATGTATATATAGGTTCATATGGTCGAAAAATATGGCAATTTTGTTGGTATGGGCGAAGGAAGAGGCGCCGCCAAAACCGATAAATGTGAAAAGGCATGTCGTATTTACGTGCCATTTTATTTATTCAATTACCATAAGTTAGGTCCCATTATTGATACCATTTTTGACATTTCCCACTTGCTCAAGGAACAAACAAAAAAAGCACTAAAAAAAGAGAATGAAGAAGAATAAAGATTGTATTCCAAATAGAGATATTGAAACAATAGTGACAGATTTATCATTTCGTTGGTATTATTTTATCATTTTCGACGCGGAATATTCATTTTTTTTTGAAAATATATAACCATTATCTTTCAAATGTGTACCGAGATAGTTTCCACTAAGTCATGAGTCATCTATCTTCAAATTAGTCCAGAGCGAACACGCTTAACTCTAGAGTTCTTTCATGGTAGTCGACTCAAAAGATAGGTACACATTGTTGGTATGAGTAACCCAATTAATTCTTTTATACTATCTTAGACCATATAGTCTCATATCTATATAGACATCGGATCTCTCTCATTCTGATGCGTTCGATTCTTCATGTATCCATCTGGTGTTAGTTTGACTCGGAGAGCCGCATCTTGATCGTGCCATCTGCACCGGCGAACACTCTCAACCTTTATCATTGCTTCGGATATCACATAAACCAGTCTAAATTGTCTATAACTGACAAACTTACAAGTGAGAAAGTTTGAACCTCTGATCTTAAAATTTAAGAGCATAGTATTCAATCACCTTAGGGGTTTTTCGGTCCTTTTCATGTTATTTCCACTAGTATTTAAATATATTTCTTCATATTTATGAAAACTATATTTAATTATATGAAAATATTTGGCATAAAATCACGAATTTAGTCAACAAATCTTGAGTTTTTATATTCTGAAATTGTATAAATATGAAGTTGTTTTTCTATTCGGAGATAAAATATGATTTTTTGAAGTTTTATTATAATATCTCATGTCCATAACCATAAATAAACAAACTGAAATATGGGCTCCAATAATTTAATGCTTGCATTCAAATATGATTTGTTTACCATAAATATGAGATCCAAAACTAGTTAATTGAAAGAAAGCCCAAGTTTGTTACAATAATTGGAGCATTTTCTTTTACCCAGTATTTTAAAATTTGATATTTTATACAACTATATATATATATATATTAAGATTTTACTTCAATGTGATTTTTATATAAAACAAAACATTCATTTGAAAATAAATTTTGCTTTTGATTAATTTTAAGTTTAGTTTCGTATTCAACTTAGATACCTTTTATATCCAGTTAATTTATGATGTAAAAATATATCCAATTATGACATTATTTAATTTTTGGAAGGAAATTCAAATGGAAGCCGTGTCCACGAAATTGGGGATGCCAAATTCAAGCTTTGCAAAATTAATAGACGCGCTTTGCGAACAAAGTAGGAAAAGAACAAAAATCGATTTTATTTTATTTTTAATTCAAAGTAATCAGTAATCAGTAATCAGTAATTTTGTTTTGGTCGAATTGATTTTTTATTATTTATTTTGGAATATATAAAGAAAGAAAACCCATGTGGCAGACAAATCCTCAATGTCCATTGTAGTCCGTAACTAATCAGTCATCTGTAATTTTATTTTGCTGAAAAATTAACTAATTAATAATTTATGTAATAAAAAACCATGTGGGAGACAAATCCACAATGTCCATAGTAAACTTTCATGTGGTCCCCACTACCGACACTGACTTTTGTTTTTTTTTTCTTTTTTTTTTAATTCCATTTTTTCAGTAATTTTCCCTCTCTTATCTCTCATACCACTGTCTCCCACTTATATACATACGTACCATTGCCTTCTTCCCTCTCCTGCAACCTCTCTCTCTCTCTCTCTCTCTCTCTCTCTCTCTCTGAGAACAGATTTGGTGCGAGAGAGACCGATTTCGCATTCCGTCGCCGGAAAAAATGGCGGTCAATGCCTCATTCGCCGCCGCGTTTATCGTCGGAATATCTCTCATATTCGCCGCCGCCGCGGAGGATCCGTACAGATTCTTCGACTGGAACGTCACCTACGGCGACATTTACCCGCTCGGCGTCCGTCAACGGGTACGTATACCGGTTCGATCTGATTCCGTTCGGTTAGATCCGGTTTTCTTAATACCGGTTTCTGGTTTGCCTGTAGGGTATTCTGATAAACGGGCAGTTTCCCGGACCGGATATTCACTCGGTGACAAACGACAATCTCATCATCAATGTGTTCAACAGCCTCGACGAGCCTTTCCTTATTTCATGGTACGTCCTCTTTTTGTTTTTTTAACATTATGGAAATAATTTTATTAGTGTTAAATAAAAGAATATATATATATATATACGTACAAGTTTATGTAAATCTACATGGCTCTCGAACAATTTCAATTATTTCATTATATATTAATTTAAAGCCCATAAAAATAAAATGACACTTTGGATTATGCTGTTTCACTTTTTCTCATAAAATGACATATAACCCTTATTTTATGAATGTGACTTGGCATAAATAATGTAATTATATACAAATCATATTTAATGTTAAGATTTGATCCAAAAAATTACTAGATTTCAAGAATTAAAATCTAATCTTATAAACTATTTTGAGTTTTGGGTCGATACACTTAATTTACAAATGTTTTAACCCGTGTAACATATGGTAAAACATGTCTTTATGATAAAAAAAAAGATATAACTACAATATAATTACTATTAACCACATTTATGACATGATTAGAGAGATGATTAGTTATGCCTAATAAATGAAGCGATTAAATGTGTTGCATAAATGTTACTGATTAACCGTGATTCGATTGTATGTTAGTGTGGGTCCCGCTTAAGCATGTTACCATCTAGCTGTCTTCCTTTATTGCATTATTAAATATTTTGGTACGGCGATTATGACTCGCTTTTTTGAATCACGAATCTGTAGTTTCCTTACTCGACATATAACAAAATTCACCTATAAATTTAAATCGAATTATATTTTATAGTGTAGTGTTTAATATTCCAAAATGATTCGAAGACCAGCTCAATCGTTTTTGTTGGTAATAACAATTTTAGTAGAGTATTTTTTCTATTCTAGTGTTTCTGTATCATTAACGGTCCAAAAATATCATTATTTATTTAACCCTTTTACTTTTAACCTTTTTTTTTTACTTTTTACATTTACAATGTGAAAATGGATAATTACAAAACAGGAACGGGATTCAGCAGAGGAGGAACTCGTTTCAGGACGGAGTGTACGGAACGACATGCCCGATTCCTCCGGGAAAGAACTTCACCTACATTCTTCAGGTGAAGGATCAGATCGGAAGCTTCTACTACTTCCCCTCTCTCGCATTCCACAAAGCCGCCGGTGGATTCGGCGGCATCCGTATCCTCAGCCGCCCCAGGATCCCCGTCCCATTCCCCGATCCCGCCGGCGATTACACCGTGCTCATCGGCGACTGGTACAAGTCCAACCACACGGTAATTTTCTCTGCTTCGATCTCTCCTCTCTGCATTCCGATCTGTATATATGTTGAGATTCATGTGTGTAAAGTATACAGTGCGTTTGGGATCGCGATTTTGAGTGAATCGTGAATCCAGCCTGTTGAAATCGTTGATTCCTGCGATTTGGGGTGTTGATTCAGGTATATAGGGAGATGCGTGTGCGTAGATGCGTTTCGGATGGTTATTTCGTGCGAATCGCCATCGCGGTGTCCGGAATCGTTGAATCTCGCGATTTCGGGGCTTGATTTTCGGGGATTAGGGTTGAATGGTGCATTAGGAATCGGATAGCTGTGTTTATTGTCTCCTGTCGGCAATGCATGTGTTTCGCTTATCTGGAATTATTGAATGTCAGGAAATCCTGACATTCAATAAATTATTAAAATAAATCAATTTGGTTGGTATCCACGTTTTAATCTTTATAGACTGTAGGAGTGGGACCCCTCATGAGATTGATTGCAGACATTTCCACTTTATCTTTCTCTCCAAAGGATTAGCTTAGCTGTGATGTGTTAGCATCTGTCATGTCCTGTGAGGAAAAAAAAGAAGACATAACCAGAAGGATTGATTCTTGGTTCCCAGTCAGTCCCAATTTGTTAATTGGAGGGTAGCCCTTTTTCTCTGGATCATGAAACCCTGGATGTATTCTGTTGTTTTTTTTATAGGAAGTGCAGATAAGTCCATAACTTGGTGCAACTTGTTACATGAATCTTAGTCCGTTTCCGGAAATCGTAGTAGTTTTTTTGTTTTTCAATGGTTTTCTAGTGTGAATCAGAATCATAGAATGAGTAAAAATGAGCTGTAGACACATTGAGAAAGAGTTATGATCTTCTGCATTTCATACCAGTGTGATCTTAGCATCTGGGTCGGATTGTATCTTGTTGTTTGGGTTGAATGCATGTGTCTTGATTATGGATGCTTGGAGTTTTGAAATGTGTTTGTGACTCTGTTTCATAGGACTTGAGAGTACAGCTTGATAGTGGTAACAAGCTTCCTTTAGCAGATGGAATTCTCATCAATGGCCGTGGAAGCGGTGCCACCCTTAATGTTGAACAAGGTTTTGCCCTTTCTATACTTCCTTCTCGATTCTTTCAGTAAACATTTTTTCTGGAGTTTACTGATAACTTTGGCTGTGAATTGTATTGCAGGGAAGACTTACAGGCTGAGAATATCCAATGTTGGGCTACAAAACTCTCTCAACTTCCGCATCCAAAACCACAAGATGAAGGTCGTCGAAGTTGAAGGGACGCACACTCTTCAGACAACTTTCTCTTCTCTGGATGTTCATGTCGGACAATCTTACTCGGTCCTCGTTACAGCAGACCAGCCAGCACAAGATTATTACATCGTGGTTTCCAGTCGATTTACCTCACCAGTCCTCACAACCACCGGGGTTCTCCGGTACAGTAATTCCGCTGGACCTGTCTCTGGACCTATTCCCGGTGGACCCACCATCCAGGTCGACTGGTCTTTGAACCAGGCCAGAGCAATCAGGTATATCATTTTCCTCGTTGAGTCAATCACAATTGTTGTAGAAGGTGCCATAGATACTTTTTTGGATTATAGACTCAGGATCACTTACATGCCCTGTAATCTTTTGTGAATACTAAGAACAATTATGAAGTTTTCCGTTATAGCAGTTCTGCTCATCCCTTGCAGGACTAACCTTACAGCCAGTGGGCCAAGGCCAAACCCACAAGGCTCCTACCACTATGGTATGATAAACACGACCAGAACGATCAGACTTGCTAGCTCCGCTGGTCAGGTCAATGGCAAGCAACGATATGCTGTGAACAGTGTATCGTTTACCCCGGCGGATACCCCGTTGAAACTTGCGGACTACTTCAAGATCGATGGTGTTTTCCGTGTCGGAAGCATATCTGACCATCCCACCGGTGGAGGAATATACCTTGACACATCTGTCATGCAGGCTGATTACAGAGCCTTTGTGGAAATCGTATTCGAGAACCCCGAGGATATCGTCCAGAGCTGGCATCTCGATGGCTACTCTTTCTTTGTTGTCGGGTAAGTTCTCCTCTAAACACTCAAATTTCATTTTACCAACAAGATCCATAGTGTTTGTTATAATCGATATTTTGAAATTCTAATCCGATACAGAATGGACGGAGGGCAGTGGACACCCGCGAGTAGAAACGAGTACAACCTTCGCGATGCAGTCGCGCGCTGCACCGTCCAGGTAAGAGCATTCAAGGCTTTCGAATTCTGATAAATCAAGCATTTGATAATAGCTTAGAAAGCCATACAACCAAGGATTAGAGGTGACTATCTCGGGTTTGGTTTTTTCGGTTTCAGAAAATCTATACTTGTTCGGCTTATATATTGGCTCGGTTTGGGTTTGGTTTTTTTAAACTCATTTTCCAAAAGAATCGATTTTTCGGTTACTTTGATATTTGGTTTGGGTTTTTCACACATTCGGTTTTTATATCGGATTCCATCGGGATATGATTATATGTTACTCGGTCTGAATCTGTTCGGATTTGCGCAAACGAACCGAAATGGCCACCCACACCGAGGATAATCGTTCAAAACCCGCAGGTGTATCCAAACTCGTGGACGGCGATATACGTAGCGTTGGACAACGTAGGGATGTGGAACGTGAGGTCGGAGTTCTGGGCAAGACAGTACTTGGGACAGCAGTTCTACTTGCGTGTCTACACGACATCAACTTCCCTCAGAGACGAATACCCGATTCCGAAGAACGCTCTTCTCTGCGGCCGAGCCAGCGGACGCCGCACTAGGCCGCTCTGATGAACTCCCCGTCTCGGAGTTTTTCCAGATGAATGAGAGAGGGAAAACATAAAAGCTTCAAGGTTGCCTTTTGAAATTGGCCTCTATATATATATATATATAGTTAGCGATCTCAGCTCGAGGTCTCTCATTCTTTGCTTCCATCTTATAACTTTATTGTTATGATATCTATATATATAGTTCCTTGTTTTTTTTTTTCAAATGGATTCGGGTAATGGAAGTGTTGAGTTTTTAAAACAGTATATTAGAACTCTCTCCACGGAAACTATGGGGGAGATGGGGCATTCTAATTTTCCGGTGTATCTGATTTCGATCTGTCTCCTCGGGTCTTCTACTGATTTGTTCGTGCTCCGATACACATTGGCTATCTGGTCGACGAGGGGATATAAGGTACAAGTCGAGGAAGAAAAGAGACGGTGAGGCCGCGGAAAAAGAGAGAGGGTGAGGTCGTGGAGGAAGCGAGTTTCGCCCCGACGAGACCCCAAAGAAAGAGACGACAGCCGAGGAAACGCTTTCACAGCGAGCGATGACTACGAGACGCGGTGAAGCCGAGAGCTCACGAAATTGCCATCCCAAAGACTTGATTGAAACCCTAGTTTCTCTATTTCTTACTAACAAATTTGCAATCATAATATAATCGAATCCAATATAAAAATCGAATGGAATGGTTATAATTTCTTTATAAATAAAAATAAAAAACTAATCGAATAAAAAAATAATCGAAAAAATTGAGGAATTCTGATGTGAGATCTAAGAATGAGGATTTCTATATCAGTAATCTTTTATTGTTATTAGTCACTGATAAATGATACAAGCTCTTTGTGTCCTGTCCTGTCCTGTGTCCAGTTCGAGTGGAAGGATTTTACTCGATCCATGAAGCATCCAGCATCTTAGCCATGAATCCATACCGATCAGCCGCCTCATCGATCTGTTTCAGCTAACAAATTAGTCCGACGCTGAGCAGTTTATTCCAAACCCGGCGAGAAAGAAACGACAAGATTTTACCATCTTTTGTGTCGGACGTCCCGCTCCATGCCCGGCTTTCACTTCTATTCTACTGATTATCGGCTTTGTCTGTGGACTGTTCTCCAAACTCGTGCACAGAACATGTTGCATAGTCTGCAAAAACACGCGAACACGAAAGCAGTAACGCGTCTGAACGATATGGCATCGGCGAAAAGAGATCGAGTTTGGGGTTTTGAAAGAGACTAAACAAACCGCAAGCAATTTCAGGGAGTGAAGTGGAACGACTCTGTCGTCGTGGTCGGCGGTTAACAACATGGTGGATGGGTACTGAACAAACCGGCCGGTTTGCTGTTCCTCCCACGGCCTTTTCACGTTGTGCAGAGGCGAGTACCTTAACCGTAAACACATGTAAGAAAACGGATAAAGCCTTGTCCTTTTGTTGTGTCTCAAAAGAGCAATTTACCTTATCAGCCAATGGAACTCCTCTTCCTTGTCGGAACAGCCAAATTCAGATGTCCAAGCATGACCTATCGTAAACTTGTGAAACCGAAGCATGTCCATGACACCAACATGAGCCAGGGCACACCCGAAAAGATCCGGCCTCTGTCCGGAAAAGCGAGTTTCGTACATAAATTACGAGCCAACATAGGGATATGATAATTACAAATCGAGTGATATCTCTATAAATTACCTGATTAATGCAAGCCCCGATCAGAAGCCCGCCATTGCTGCCACCTTCGATACACAATTTACCCGGTTGTGTATAACCTGCGGATACAAGATATTCTGCCCCGGAAATGAAGTCGTCGAAGCAAGTCTGCTTCTTGGCAAGTGCACCTCCTTTGTGCCATTCCTCGCCGTATTCTCCTCCACCACGGATGTTCGCAAAGCAGAAAACGGCACCAAGATGCCTACCGAGCACAATACGGCTGACACTGAAGAACGGTGTTATGCTTATGTTAAAGCCACCATATGCATAGAGCAAACATGGGTGTGATCCATCAAGCTCGATACCCTTTTTGGCCACGATGAACATCGGTATCTTGGTTCTGTCCTTGCTGGGATAGAAGACCTGGAAAAGAGGGCAGCAACCCGCTTCCATTTGGTAATGACGATAGCCATGGCTATGGGATAAAAGGAATAGCAAGATGATTAAGAAGAGCTTTTTTACCTGAGTGGCTTGAAATGCTGCTCTATCAAATCCCGGCACAGCAATTTCACGAAATACCTTAACTTTGGGGGTTTCATCGGCTAAGTCGCACTTATAAATCACGCCGGGAGTAAGGAAACTGGCAAAGCTAAAGAAAAATGAGCTGTCTTTTCGACGAGCAAAAACACCAGATACCGAGCCAATATCGAGAGGCAACTGGTGAAGCAACGACCCGGATTTCAAGTCTCGGATCTGTAGAACGTGCTTTACGTCACTCAAGTAGCTCACAATCAGATGATTGCCATTAACAGCACAAGCTGAAGAAAGAACATCCTTTCCGTGCTCATCAATAACATCAATCCATTTGCCCGGTTCCTTCAGATCGACCCGAACTAATTTGTACTTCGGTGCATCTTTGTTTGTCAAGAACGTAAACACGGTCTCGTCGTTTGCGATGGCACTATACTGCGCATCGAATGTGTCAACCAGCTTAATGAATGGAAGGAGAGTGTTGCTTCCGCTAAAACTTTGAAGACCTCCTTCGAGGGAAGACAGATCACAGTAGTATACTTTGTTGACAGGGTCACAGCCCTCTTCAATGGCCATGATTAGGTACTGCATGTCAGAAAATTAAACAAAAAATGTCGGTATTTATATTAAACCCTCAAGACTAATGGCCGGTATTTTCAGAGCACACGGAGAGACACCACAAGTGACTAGAACGAACACGATTTGTCAGAACCTAACCATCTGATCAACACCGAAATGATGTTCAGAAGACATTGACAATAGTTAAAGAGTTCAGACAAACATTGGAACAAACAGTGAGACAAGAACTGAACTGAGTGTTATACCTTCCCATCATCTGTGACATCAGCCTCAAAGAGATACTTGGGATTTTCGTGATCCCTCCAGCATAAGATGTCGTCAGATTGATCGCTGCCGAGGAAATGGTAATACAACTCATGGTAGAGGTTAGCATTAGTCTCTGTGCCAGCATCTATATTTTCTCCCTCTCTGCACAAGGGGAAAACCTTCAGAACTCAAGCTTTCAAACTAGATACATGTAATAACGCCAAACATAACCGAATTCTTGCAAGTAATGTCCTAAGGTTTCCATCAAACTTGACGAACACACTGATGTTATATCGACTCACTTGGGAGCTGGATAACGGCTGTAGAAAAACCCTTTGTTATCGTGTGTCCATGTAATCCCGCTAAACTTAACCTGTTCTACAACAAGATCTTAAATTTATTACAATCTCTCTCTCGTCGTTCGAACCTCGGTAATCAGTGTACCATCACAAAACAACATACCCATGACAAGGTATCAGGCTCAACTTTTTTGTCCTGCACGCTCATCACCTTAATCGTCACCCAGTCACTGCCACTCGAGCTAAGTCCGTAAGCCAAGAGCTTGGCATCCTCACTGATGGAAAACGTGCTTAAGGCCACGGTTCCATCGTTGCTAAGCGTATTCGGATCAAGCAAGATCTCTGGTTCAGCATCCAAATCGTCCTGAACCCATTTTCAATCAAAGTCAAAGACAAAGCCAAAGCTAAGACAGGAAAGAAAAAACAAAACAAAACAGGGGGATACATCAAGCTGTAATAGGGACAGAAGCATAAGCCTCTTCCTCGTACCTGCATGTAAAGTACACTATGGGCTTGGAGACCGGTGTTATGGAAGTAAAAGTACTTGTTCCCTTTCCTGAACAGTGAACCATATCGAGGATGATCAAACAGTTTCGTGATTGCTTCACTCAGCTTCTCCCTCGTTTCGCATTTCTTAAGGACAGAATCAGTCAATTTGACCTGACCCTGGACGAATTCCTTCACTTCATCAGCGTCTGGATCCTCTAACCTGGCAAAACACGGACAAGAACGCAGCGCCAAATTCAAATCAAAACTCAATCCCTATGACGAAATCAGAAGAAACCCAGAATTTATCTGAGTGTCAATCATCAAGTCAAATGACAACGTGGAAAATTCGAAATCGCGAGCGAGAGACCCTCCATCGATTTTCCCGGGAAATCAAGACAGTCAACCGAAATCATCTCCTTCCAAACCAAAGAAAACCATCACAAAACCTAAGAACGACAGAGATTACAGCTCGAGACGGAGTCTCACCACCGGTATGGATCCGCAACCTTAACGCCGTGGTAATCGTCGACGATGGACTCATCCCGCCGCGCCGCCGGATACTGCAACCGCTCGTCGAAAGCCGACAGAGATCCCATTATCGAAGAAGAACGACAAGGACAAGAACCAGAACGAGAGCGGTTGTTCCGGCGAGAGAAGGTTGGTCCTTCGCTGAGACGACGGCGAGAAGACAGAATGGAGAGACGCTAGGCGTCTGAAATATATAGGGAGCGAAGGAGCCGTGAAGAAAAAGGAAAGAGGGAGGGAGC